CTAGATCTATAGAAATATAATGTGAGCCGTATATGTAATTTAAAATTTCTAGTAAAGAAAAGTGTAAGGAAACAGGTGGAATTAATTCTAGTGATATAATTAATTTAACACCTATATCCTCAAGAGTATCATTTCAATGTGTATTCAATATAAAAGAATTATGATTGGGATATTTTACTTTCTTTGTATTAAATCTTTGAAATCAGTGTGCATTTACATTTACATCTCAATTTAGAGGAGTCACCTTTCAAGGTCTAATAGACACCACACTGGGTGGTGCAGCTATAAAACAAAAAGCTTTAGAAGGAGTGGTTTCAACCATCTGCATCAGGAAAATCCAGAGAATCTTAATAAGAATATGAATTCCTGTGCCCTATCCCTAACCTACCAAATCATATCTCTGGGGGTGGCACTAAGGGATTTGCATTTTTTAATGGATTCCATAGCTGGAGCTTTACTTACTCAAATTTAAGATCATCAGTGAACCTCCATGACCCAAATTTGATCATCACCCCTTAGCCAACACCACTACAACCTACCACAGTAACATAAGCCAGTAGACACAAGCACACAACCCATTCTCTTCTATTGACTCATTCGGTATGTATGGAGCACTGATTATCTGCCTGACACTGTTCTAGGTCATAAGGCTAGAATGATGAGAAACACAGGCCAAATCCTTGCCCTTTGGAAGCTTATAGCCCTAGTACAGGAGACAGACAGGAAACATGTAGAGGACTAAATAGTGATCTAATTTCAGGTGATGGAGAAGACAAAGTAAAAGCAAGGATGGGAGATAGTGGATGGGCAGAGAAAGGATTGTGCTTCTACAAAGACACGGTGTGCTGGTCTGGAGGGAGGGTCCCAGAGGGAGGGACCACTGGCCGGCTGGGAATGCGAGTAGGGACAGAGCCACATATCACCTGGGGGAAGAGCCCTGCATTAGAGCCAGAGCAGGAAGGCCAGCAGGGCTGGAGCTGAGCAGGCCATGGGGAGCAGTGCCAAGAGGAGCACAGTCACCAACTGTACAGGCTCTGAAAGGCCACATCAAGACATTTGGGGTTCTTCCTAACAGCAATGCAAATGTCCTGGTGGGTTTCAAGCAAGGGCATGTGACATTACCCCAGATGGGGGTGGCTATGCAAATTGTTCAGGAGAGACATATGTTGGCTCAGACAGCAGGGACAGCAGTGGGGATGTGTGTTGAGTAGAGCTGGTGGATTTGGTAATGGATTGGCTGGGGGGTAGTGGGGAGATAAGGGGGAGTAGAGGAACAGCACCTTCTTTTGGGGCCTGAGCAACTGAGTGATGGGTGGGACATTTACTGAGAGGGATGAGCATGGCTAGAGGGCAAATTTAACAACCCAGTTGCATAAATTATCTCTTTCTGATCAGGGAGATTCTTATCATAATAAAGATAGCCTATTTTCGTCAAAATGGTAAGGGAGAGGGGAGTTCATTTATTATTTGTCTCAGTTTCATCTGCCCTTTCACTGTCCTTTTCCCACAGGGGAAAAGGTTATGAAGCTTTCTTGCTCCTGAAGAGTCAGAGGAGATCCCAGCCTCCTTCTTCATAGAATTCTCACCCAGATGTTCACACATGCACATTCACACACACACACACACACACACTCCACCCTGCTTCTGCCCAGAAGACCCATAATCTCACCATCCATCATCCAGCTCCCTTTGGCTCTTTTGGCATATAAGCTGGGCAGTCAGAATCTTAAAATGACCCACACCTCTGTATAATCCCCTCTCCTTGAGTGTGAGCAGGGACTGAATTGTAATTTCACTAAATCACAGCATAAGGTAAAAGTGAAGGGATTTTGCAATGTCACTGTGGTCACAAATCAGTTAACTTTAAGTTAATCAAAGGGGAGTTTGACCTGGGTGGGCCCGACCTAATCAGGACAACCCCATAAATGTGGGTCTGGAGGTCAGAGATGAAAAAGACACCAATGTTGCTCTCCCGGTGGCCTACAAGTGGTAAACTGCCATGTTGTGGAAAAGTCCATGTGTCAAGGAAGGGGCTTCCAGGAGCTGAGGGCCTTTGTCCTAGAACTGCAAAGAACTGAATTCTGCCAGAACCAATGAGCCTAGAAGAGAACCCTGAGCCTCAGCTGAGATTGTATCCTGGGCTGACATATTGGTTATGGTCCTCTGAGACCCCAAGCAGAGGACCCAGCTCAAGTACAAGGAACTCTGACCCAATAAAACTATGCCATGGCAAGTGTATGGGGTTTTAAGGCACTAAGTTTGTGGAAATTTCTTACACAGCAATAGAAAATTAATACAAAAAGGTAATGATAATAAACACAGCAATAACAGATAAAAATATTCAGTGCTTATAATATGCTAAACATTTTCAATTGCTTTATATCCTTATTCTTTCCAGCAACCCCATACATTTGGCACTATTATTATCCCGATTTAATAATTTCGAATCTTGAGGCTTAGGGAGAAGTCACAGAACTGAGGAGGTGACAGAGCAGGGATTGAGCCCAGGCCTAGAACTCAGAAGACAGAGTTTGACCACTAGGCAGTGCTGCCCCCAACCAGACGAGGGGCCCCTCATGAAGGAGTTCTGGACCTGAGACCCTCTTCGAAATAATGAAGCCTGCTCTGCCTGCATCTCAACCCCTTAATGCTCTCAGTCATGCCCTCTCCACCCAGGCCAGAGTCAGCAGAGCCTTGGCTGGGCCATCACGTCCTTTCCTGTCTTTGCACTCTGGACGTCCCACAGTCAGCGTGGACAGTGCGACCTCTGCGAGCTAGGGTGTCGCCAGGCTCCCCTGAGCATATTCTGGCCTAGCTCCCCCTTAGGGCAACCAAGTCATCTTGGTTTTCCTAGTACTGTCCCAGTTTTAAAACTGGGAGCCCTTCCTCCCAGGAAATCCCTCAATCCCAAGCAAACCGGGAGGGCTATACTACCTTCCCACCCTCCAAAGCAAGCCCAGGCTGAGGTAGGACTTGAGGCCGCTTCCACTCAGTGGTTTGCTGTGACCTTTCCTTTCCAATGCCCACTAGAATATTTGAGTCTGCTCTCTATAGAGAGCTAGGAGCAGAAGCACCTCTACTGAAACAATTGGTACCAAAAAGCTTCTACTGGGTGGAGTTTGGCCATAAAAGCCCAGATGAGACTTTAGTCTGGACAACCAGATAGGCCTAGGAAACCCTATCCACATGGTGGTGGTGGTGGGGGGTGGTCCTTGAACTGAGAAATATGCTTGCCTTGACCATCACACATGAAGTACATCGATCCAGACAACACACAGGCCAGACTCCATGTTTCCATTCACTCCACTCCCCAAGCAGGCCACTCAGAGAAAGCTGGGGACTTTTGGTCCTTGGATTTGTCTCATCCTTCCTAAGACTGTGACCATCATAAATAAGAATCATCTAGGGGTCAAGAGGACTCATCTATTATTGCTGGTCATCTCATTTTAAAGCTAAGTCCTCATGAATTGACTCCCTTTGTGAGAGCTGGCTTCTTTCTGTCATGTGTCTTGGACTCTTGACCACACCCAGCTATCTCCTACATTGTACTCAGTGCCAATGCACATTATGTACGACAGTGTTTGGACCACCATGAATCTATCCCCAATATGAAAAATGGCTCAACACATATACTCTATCAAATATTGTCAGCCAGTGATTTATAAACTCATTCACTCATTTGTTTTTGTTCAATAATTGGCCCCCTCCCCCCACAACGGGCTGTATCCTGACACTGAGTTACAGCACACTTTAAGCTGAAATGATATGATGGGTGCTAGGCATGATACTAGCACATAAAGATACCACCCTAATCCTCATGGGATGTGTGGAGGATTCTTCAGGAAGTCAAAAGAAGATCTTAAGGAAATCTGTTTGTCTATAGGAAAGAAAGAAAGCATGGGTTTTTTGGGGTTTTGGTGTTTGGGGTGTTTTGGAGTTTTTTTTTGTGTGTGGGGGGGGTTTTTTTTTTTTTTGCATTTCTCCACAATTTATCCCATTAAAACATTGAAAGAAAACACATCTAATCTCATAATACTCACCCCAACTGTCCTCTACAATATAGCACTTTACAGGACGTCTGTTTGAGTTCTAAAATAGCTTGAGGCAGGATGCCTGCTATGTGACAGTCTCCAAGCTTGGCACAGGAAAAGCAAAATAAATAGGACATCAGGGATATTGGAGAGCTAATGATTTAGTGGGGAAGGATGACACATGCTAACAAATATCTTTACATTGTAATATGGATTTGCTGTGGTTAAGATGTTCAGAGGGTGCTGTGGGAAGTCAGAGGGCAGCACTAGGCCAACCTAGAGCTAGGAAAGGCTTCCCAGAAAAGACCATGCTTCAGTTGTGTCTCTTCTGGTTCTTTTTTGAGTGGTATTAATTTGCTCATTAAGAAACTTCAAATAAGGATGCTTGGGTGGCTCAGTGATTCAGTCTGCTTTCAGCTCAGGGCGTGATCCTGGAGTTTTGGGATTGAGTCCCACATCAGACTCCCTGCGTGGAGCCTGCTTCTCCCTCTGCCTATGTCTCTGCCTCTTTCTGTGTGTGTCTCATGAATAAATAAATAATCTTTTTTAAAAAAAAAAAAAGCCTTCAAATAATTATGAACATATAAACCACAGAATAAAACTTACCCCAAATCTCTTCACCTGGAGATAACATGGTTGACATTTTGGTGTGTGCCTTTCCAGGCACATGTGTGTGTAAGGACAGTGTACTTTCTATTATTATCACAGAGGTCGAGGAAAAGATTAGTTGTTCAAATGCAGCAATTGGGATGGCTGGGTGACTCAGTGGTTGAGCCTCTGCCTTTGGCTCAGGGCATAATCCTGGAGTCTCGGGATCGAGTCCTACATTGGGCTCCCTGCATGGAGCCTACTTCTCCCTCTGCCTATGTCTCTGCCTCTCTCTCTGTGTGTCTCTCATGAATAAATAAAATCTTTAAAAAAGAAATCAAATGCAGCAATCAACCCACAAAAGACTCAACCACCAGCCTAAAACATATCTCTGTATTTTATTTTAGGAACACATTAATGTGGTCACAAAACATCTTCAGAAAGCGGGAGAAGTCAAGAAACATACAGAATGGGTCTGAATAAGAGATATGGGGCCACTGCCATTCTCAAGGGGTGGAGCGGACACAAAGTTATTTTCTTCCAGGGAAAGCAAGGTTAACTCAAGCTGCGGAGCCCAGATGGTCATTAGATTTACAGCTGTCTGAAGAGGAGCCATATCTTTGCAAGGGTTGAGTTATGATGAGTTTAGGTATTGATCAGAGGAGAGCGCTGACCCCGTACTCAGCGGAGAGTCAGGGGATTAGAAGCAGAGGGGAGATGGTGGTGCTTACTGTCTTTATGTAGTTTTCGAAGTCACTTCCGAAAAAGAGGATGAGGTAATAGTTGAATATTCCAGCAACAGACATGAGGAACAGAAACAGTATGATTCGCTTCCCAAATATGTAGCCTGGCGTGCTGAAAGAGAAAGAAAACTGTAGAAGCAATAAAATAACACTAACTCAACCAAAAATGTTATCACTTCGAGATACATGGGGTTTAAATTTGAGTTCCTTTTACTCAGGAATGCTCCATTGACTTCAAATGAAGAATGGAAGGGTCTCCACTATTATCCATCACAGACCATATTTCAAAACCAAGCTAAAAGAGCCTAGACCCAAACCCGTCATCATTAGGGCTCTGCTGTGCAGCCTCTCCAGTTCCCTGAGGGCGTGAAGGTGGTGGGTGCTGTCAGTCGGTTGGTCTCGGACATTCTGACGGGGGATAAGGAACCCCATCAACCTGGTGTGACCCCCGGGTTCTGCTCCAGGAGTGCTTGGGAAGCCGTGCTGGCTGCTGGGCCTAATGCAGGACAGAAGAACCTCTGTGAGAGGGGTGCTGGTTTCAATGAGCCAGTAAGGCTGCTGGAATCTAAAAGGTGTTTCAGTATCTGAGAGCTCCATCTACGCTCGTGAGGCTGCTTGGGAACAGCCCATGTTCGCACTAACGAGAGCTGGGCCCCTCACAGTGGAAGACAGGCTCTTACATTTTAAGTGAATGGAGAGGGGAAAGATGTTTTAGTACATTTATATGCTTCTCTCGAAGGCTCTAAATCCTAAGCTGCTTAGGCAAATCAGCAACTGGGGTCAGGAGGCATTTCCCCAGTGATATGTGACCGCCTAAATGTACACAGCGGCTGCCCTGGCTTCCCTCTGCACAACCCTCTGTGACCGCTGTGGCTGGATCCATCTGTGCAGCACTAGCGCGTTAGGAGAGTCCAGCCAAATGGCTTGTTAAGGCTGTTAGTAACGACCCCGGCGAGGGGACCCTTTGGCAATCAAGACCGCTCAACAAGAACAGCCAGCTCAGCTAAAACAGGTGAGTCGGTGCTGCTGAGCCTGGTTTTTGACATAATCAAGAGAGAACAGAATTCGGCATCTATAGGTTCAACCTGAGAAATTGTATCTTTTTTGAAATGGACCCCAGAGGTTCATACTGTAACTCGTAACTTTCCTATGTCAAGAGTCTGAAAATCCTTCAGCAGTTGACTATTTCCTTGCTACTCAAAGTGTGGTTCACAGACCAACCACACTGGCATCCACTGGGGGCTTGTTAGAAATGCAGGATCTCAGGTTCCTCCCTGGATCTGCTGAATCAGAATCTGCATTCTGCCAAGTGCCGCCGTGACTCATAGGGCATTAAAGTTTGAGAAGCACTGCTAGCTGCCCGGCCCCTGCTCCTTGGCCACTGTATTCTTCTCTCCTTGGTTTCCTGTTTACAGTCACACTCATGAAGTGAGACATTCCATCTCTTTATTGGGGAAATATATTTGGCTCCTAAAAGGAGCATTATGGGCTGAACTGTGTCTCCCCCTCCCCAATTCATATGTTGAAGTCCTAACCCCAATATCTCAGAACATGACTGTATTTGGATATATAGTCTTTAAATAGGTAATTAAGGTAAAATGTGATCACTAAGGTGGACCCTGACTCAATAGGACTGGTGTCCTTATAAGAAAACAAGATTTGGGGACACCTGGGTGGCTCACTGGCCGAGCATCTGCCTTCGGCTCAGGGTGTGATCCCAGAGTCCCGTGTTCGAGTTCTCTCTCTGCCTGCTTCTCTCTCTGCCTATGTTTCTGCCCCTCTGTCTTTCATGGATAAATAAATAAAATCTTTAAAAAGAAGAAGAAGAGAAGATTTGGACACAGACACACAGAGAGAAGACTATGTGGGGACACCAGGAAAAGACGGCCATCTGTGAGCTGAGGAGAGAGGCCTCAAAAGAAAACAAGGCAGCCAACACCCTGAACTCAGATTTCTAACCTCCGGAACTATAGAACAATCAATTTCTGTTGTCTGAGCCCCCCCCCCACCATCTGTGGTACTCGATTATAGTGGCCCTGGCAGACAAATTCAGACAGTTACCTGCTAATGCTGATAAGGAAGTAACAAAGTCTAAGTAAGGGATATTTTTTCTAGTCAGAGAATAGAGGGTTCAGAGAAATTAAATTGTGAAAAGTCAAATATTGTAGTGGCTCAGATTTATCACATGAATGAGGCCACCATATGCTCATTACAGAAACAAGAAAAAGTGATTTGCAAAGCTGTTTCAGAACGTGCTCGAGATAAATCTGTGGTGAAGGATGAAATGGCAGTGCCTGCTGCTGAAATTGTGGTGTTCTTGACTTTGGGCAGCATTTTTCAAAGGCCTCAAGGCTGATCGCCCCCAAGGAGATGGTGTGGTGCCTTAACTCTTCCCAGACCGTATGAAGGGTGCGGGAGGCAGGAGCTCAGCACCTGCCCATCACCTGCAGGGCTAAGTGTGAATGGAGGTCCCCAGCTCGGCCACCTCATTAGCTCTATCATTCAGTCTGTTGAGCTTGGAGATGGGCTGGGACCCTGGGAGGTAGGCATGGCGTGCGCAGAGGAAGGGCCTGCCCCAGGCTCTGGCCAAGCCATGGACCATCTACATAACTCACCTTTGAAACTCAAGGTTTCTCTCTTATTGTTTCTAAAAGTTGATACATAGTTCTCTCCAAATGGGGTGGGGAAGGTCAGAATTAAACTAAGCATCAGACAGACCAGGTGTTTTATATCTGCGACTTCACTGAGTTCTCAGGGCTACTCTGTGAGGTATTGTTAGCCTATTTTCCAGGTGGGAAAACCGAGAACAGACAGGTTGAACGATGGGCCTAAGGCCACACAGCCAAGAAGAGGCAGAGTGGGAATTCAAACCTGTCCGTTTGAGTCCACAGTCCTGTTCCTTCTGCCTTCCTGAGGGCCCCTTCAGGTTTTGGAGATTAGGATTTTGTGGTTAGTTTTGAAACAAATGTATCCCCCTTTTCTAAATTTTTTTTAAATTATTTATTTATGATAGTCATACAGAGAGAGAGAGAGGCAGAGACAAGGCAGAGACATAGGCAGAGGGAGAAGCAGGCTCCATGCACCGGGAGCCCGACGTGGGACTCGATCCCGGGTCTCCAGGATCGCGCCCTGGGCCAAAGGCAGGCGCCAAACCGCTGCGCCACCCAGGGATCCCCCCTTTTCAACACACACACACACACACACACACACACACACACACACACACACACCGTGAAACCTACATGAAAACATAAAAGAGGCCTGGTGACAAGCAATTCGCATCTCAAATGTGTCTAAAACTTTGAGGAAGAGGAGCTGTGGTAGGAGACAGGTGAGCCCAGGCATCAAGGCACCTGAGATCCAGTTCCACCCCGCTCACTGCCATGTCACCTTGGGCAAGTCACTGACCTCCCCACCTTACACAAAAACATAGACAAAATGTGAGTAGGAAAAGAAAACTTTATGGTCCCCTCTGGCTTTAAAATTCTGTTATTTTCAGGGATCCCTGGGTGGCGCAGCGGTTTGGTACCTGCCTTTGGCCCAGGGCGCGATCCTGGAGACCCGGGATCAAATCCTACGTCGGGCTCCCGGTGCATGGAGCCTGCTTCTCCCTCTGCCTCTGTGTGTGTGTGTGTGTGTGTGTGTGTGTGTGTGTGACTATCATAAAAAAAAACCCTCCTTTTAAAAAATAAAAAGTAAAAAAAAAAAATTCTGTTCTTATCAATAAGGAAATATGACTTTAAACCTGGAATCTTCTAAAGGGAATAAAAACTGTGAGGCCCATGAGAGCAAGATATTGTGCCTCTGTTCACCCACATACTTCCAATAAATCAGGCCCTCCATACATTTTTGTCAAATGAATTGTTCTTAGAAAAGAGGCATGAACAGCCTTCTGTGAGTCCCAAACTGTGTGTAGAAGTTGTTGAAATACATATACCCGGCTCCCACCCCAGAGATTCGGATTCCATAAGTTCAGGGTGGGGCCCCAGAACCCACATATATATATTTCTTAAAGATTTTATTTATTTATTCATGAGAGACACAGAGAGAGAAGCAGAGACACAGGCAGAGGGAGAAGCAGGCTCCATGCAGGGAGCCTGATGTGGGACTCGGTCCCGGGACTCCAGGATCATGACCTGAGCCGAAAGCAGACATTCAACCTCTGAGCCACCCAGGTGCCCCCAGAATCTATATTTTTAACAAGCACTCCAGGCAATTCCAGTGTCGTTGGTTGGTGGGCTTCACTTTAGAAACACCAGCCTTAACACTCATAGACTCACCTCGGGGGTTCCAAGAAAACGAGTTCATCTTCTAACTCTGTGAAGTAACCCCAAGGTCCCCATATGGCAGGGTGGGTAGAGAGTCTAAAATATTGATACTGAAGGGAAAAATGACTATGAGGGATCAGGACTTTTGATAATTGTGCCCATAATTATTTCTCTAGTATTTTTGGTACTGCCCCTGACTCTAGCAGAGCCCAGGCCTCCTTGAGGCAAGGGCTGTGTCATGTTTATTATCATCTCAGCAACTGACTCAGGACCTCACTGCAGGCAGGTGGTCAGTAAGGAGGGATGTGGAGTCAAAGAGGAGTGAGTTAGCAATCAGGGGAAGGTGAAGTTGGCCAACCTCAGTCTATTGGTCTCAAGAGTTGCCAATCATTGCCCGTCCACCATTGGGTTGAGAACTTCAAACTGCGGAGAGGAATTTAGTAGGACTTCCAAGGGGAACAGGGTTCTGAGGGACATGAAGATAGGGCAGCGTAGCACCAGGCAGGGAAGATAAATAATAAAAGGCAAGTAGTCTTATAAATGCCAACCCCCACTGAGTTTGGGTCTGATAGAAGTTTAGAATGAAAGGGGAAGAAATTAAAATTCATTCTTAACTGTGCATAGAAATGCTACAAACTACCTATTCAAGACAGAGAGAAAGGAGTCAGGGAGTAGGATGTAGGACAGAGAATTAGGGCCATATACTTCAAAGGGACCACAAAATCCCAGAAGGAAGAAGCTTTGGTGGGGGAGACACATCAAGGAATGTCGCACCAACCCACTGGACCAAAAGTGACCCTAGAACTTCTGATGTGGATAGGGCAAAGCAACTTCTGCGGAGGAGCAAAAGATGATTGCGAGCCCAAGGGAGAAATTCCTGGAAGGGTCTCACTGAGCTGTATCTTCCTCTGTTGATGAGCCCAAGATATAAGCAGATCCCAAAGACATGAGGCCAGGAAAGCATCTGCAGAGTGCAAGTGTGACGCAGCCCAGGGACTGAGGTGGGCGTCCACAGTGGAACCTACAGTGGGAATGTATTAGCACATAGTTTCTAGAAGGCAGAATTGAAAATTCTCTTGGACCTAGCCACAGAGGCCCTCAGGTATATATCCATCTTAAGCGATATTTTCATCTAGATTAGGATTAGACATTTCATCTAGTATATATAATTTCTATTGATGACAATAGCTCAGAACTCTGTATTTAAAAGTATTGTGAGATCACGTTTGGTCTCAGCAGGAAAGAGCACCATGATGGACTAGTAAGGAAGGCTGTGGATGCAGGCGAGGTAAGAAGGCTGTAACGCAGCAGAGCTGGGGTAAAGGGGCTGGTGGGATCTTCCCGCCCTCCCCCAGGAGATACCAGGCCAGGATTTAAGAGGTTAGGCCAATTACATTTCAAAGAGAATTTTTTTAAGCTTTTTATTTATTTATGATAGTCACACAGGTAGAGAGAGAGAGACAGAGACATAGGCAGAGGGAGAAGCAGGCTCCATGCACCGGGAGCCCGACGTGGGATTCAATCCCGGGTCTCCAAGATCGTGCCCTGGGCCAAAGGCAGGCACTAAACCGCTGCACCACCCAGGGATCCCGCCAATTACATTTCAATGAGATCCAAGGAAATCTAATAGTTTTTAGATTTTAAGTCTATATCTTATTATTTTTGCCACCTCAGTTCGCTCCGTAACAGTGATTGCCTTGAAAATGAGAAGAGCCTGTGGTAAATGAACACATTTTGTCATGCTCCACAGACTGTCTTAGAATTAAAGCAACTTTAAGATCTCAGGCAAGTGGTGACAGATGAAGAGAACAGTGACTGGGCCAAACCCCTAAGACTTTGGGGAGGAAGACAGGGAGGCAGGCCAAGAGAGCAGAAGCGCCTCATTCCATTGATAGACACCCCGCCTCTTGACAACCGGCGATCTCCCAGGGAAAGGCAGAACAGAGGCTTTCCAGGGTGGAAGAGAATAAAGAACATTCATGACAGGTTGATACGCCTAAGAGACATAATGGAATTGTGGTTTTCGAGGATAAATACGAACACCACAAGAGAGGAATGAAGAAGAGACAAGGGCAGGAAAGAATTGCTGGAAGAAGAGTCCTTCGTCTCTGGGCTGCAGCTCACCATCAACCCCCACACACACCCTGGCCCGCCTGCCTGTCCCCAGCCATTTAGCTTCACAGGATCCCAAAGTCCCCAGATGTAGAGCTTTCACCTGCCAGTGCCACTGTCACGCCGAAGGATGCTATCTGAACGGAGAGCCTGTTAACCACGAGAGAAGCACGCTACTGTGAGAGATCGAGAGGGACGTGAAAATAGACAGGGAAGAGAAATGGAGGGGAAGGCTGGAGTCCACGTAGGGGGGTGTGGGCAGCCTCTCAGGACGCATGCCTGCCTCTTGGAACCCTCCCAGTGCCTTAGAAATTCTAAGGAACTGATGGCAGACTAGAACTCGAACACTTCTTCTGTAAGTATCCTCATTTATTTTATGAAAATCCTGATTCCCCAATCCGGGTGTAGTCAAAGTATAACTGCTGCTCTGGAGCTTTCCGTCTGGCGGCATCTATAAGAATGCAATGGGGACTCTATTCACAGACTCCATCCTTTGCATGTGAGGGCATCCTATTTTTTGCAACATTCTTCCTGCTGGTTCCTGGAAGATCTGTGACTCAAGAGGACTTATCAAAAGGTACAAGCTATAGTTCTCATTTCTTTAGGCAAACAATGCAATGTTTCACTCACCGGAGACCTTGAGAAGCTAGACAGAGAAAGTCATTCAAGGCCCAGACTCTGAAGGGTGGGAGTAGAGGGTGTGGGGTTGCAAGAATGTGCAGCGCATGGTGTTAAAGCATCCTTTGTGAGCCCAACGCCATGTGAAAGAATTTGTTACAGGGCACACGAGTCGAGTCCCCCAGCAGTTTCTGCAGAGCTCGCAAAGTTCAGAGTAAAGGATGAGGGCTACTAGTTAGCCTTCCCTTCCCAACCCTTAAGTGATCACCCAGAGCCTTAAATCTTAGGCAGAACATGGTTGTGGTTAATCAGTCTTGCTCAAAGCATGACTCACACCCCAGTTCTTATACAGTCCCCGTGGCCTACCTCTGCGTTCTCTCTCCCAGGTAGCCAACGAAGTACTTTTGCCTCACAAACAGGTACATCAGTCCAGCAAAGGCGGCAGGAACTGAGTGGAGAAAGGGAAATGACTGTGTGAGTTTCACAGATGCCAGAACACGCCAAGTTTAACGTAATATTAATACAGTCATTGTGCAACTAGCATTGGTCACAAAATCTAGCAGAGACCTCAGGTTCTGGCAGTTGGGGCTGATGTGAACTGTAGCAAAGATAGGAACCTAGAACTTCAATAATAGTAATGTTACTTTCCATCAGCAGCATGGTACAGTTTACAGAGTGTTTTCCTGCCCATCACCTATTTGAATCCCTTCCACATGATCAGTGTCATCTTTTCTATTCCGGATGTGACAACTTGGGCTCCAGTGGTCAAGGAGCTTATGTAAGATCGTCAGGGTGTGTGTGCATGCGCATGCTTGTGCGCATGTGTGTGTGTGCGGTCCAAGGTAGGGGTAGGAGGAGTCAGACATGAACCCCAAGCCCAGCTCTAGGCTAGCTCTCTTAAAAGCATGCTCTTCCCCCCTGGGACTCTAGGCAGTGTATTGCTCAACCTTTTTTGAACAGTTACTGCCAGTTCAGAAAAGATCTCTAGGGAGGAGGGCGCCTGGATGGCTGCAGTCGGTTGAGCATCAGATTCTTGGTTTTGGTTCACGTTATGATCTCGGGGTCATGAGATCAAGACCTGCATTGCATTCTGAGGTCAGAGAGGAGTCTGCTTGAGATTCTCTCCCTCTGCCCCTCCCCCTGCTCATGCTCATTCTCACTCTTTCTCTCTCAAATAAATAAATAAATAAATCTTTGGGGGGTGGGGAAAGAGATCTTTGGGAAGAAGATCCCCTTTACCATCTAATCCTATGAGGAACAGCCATGAGCAGCAAGGGTCCTGAACCTTTGAGCTGAGAGTTAGAAAACCCAACCCCACCAGGACTGCTATGGTCAGGAGCTAATACTTAACTCATCCTACGTTCGAACAATGGGCTGATTGTGGCTTTCTTACCTATCAGGAATAGTCATGGGGGTGAAATAGGTGCATGGATATAAAAGCAGTCTGAAGACCTCCCAGCACTATTCAAATGCCAAATAATTACCTTGACAGAGAACTTTTTAATGTCAGGCACTGCCCCAGGCCCTTTGGGTACTTGGGTCTCTAATCCTCCCAGCCACTTGGTGAGAGCACATTACAGGAAGTCAGTTCACCCAGAGTCACTTACCAGACCAAAAGACCCATGAGGACAGCCATCTTTTGCTAGCCACCATCTCTGCGCTTGGCATAGTGCCTGGCATATACTGGCTTTCAAAAATTATTTGTTAAATGAATTCATAAAAGTCAGGTGAGCCAAGGAAAAGGTTGTTAAAAAGAAAGCCAAAGGCCCAATATGGTGTCACCTAGGCCAAGTCCCTAAACCAGGGCTTAATCCTAATCTAACTGCAGTTTCAACTTCCCCCAGAAATTCGGTCTTAACTTGTAGTCAGGAATGTTCCAATCGGAGTCAATGAAGTAATCAGCCACAAGGCCCTCTCCTTCCTTTGAGGAAAGATGAGGTAATCTGTAGGATAAGACCCCCTACTCTTCTCCCCAAGGGAAAGAAACCTTGCCTGGAACAATCCTTTTCTTTCACTAACAACCTTCTTGCCCCACCCTCCTTCCTCTAAAAACCTTCCATTCTGTACAGCCCCTAGGAGCTCCTCTCTGCTTGCTAGATGGGATGCTGCCAGATTTGTGAATCCTTTGAAAAAGCCAATTAGATCTTCGAACTGATTTGGTTGAATCTTATTTTTTAACAAGGTCGAATGTGAAACCAGGTTTGTATGATTTCAAAACTGTATTACCACCAGCAGCACCATTCATAGTGACATCTACTGGGCTTCTATTGTTGAGCTGGATTAGATGAAACTACCATTTTTGCGGGTCCGAAACAGTCAGACATTGGCAGTTTTATGTGGTTCAATCTGATCTATGCCAGGGAGTGTGACAGAGGCTTTATGCACATTCTCTCACTTAATCACCTTAGGAACTCAATTATTTCTGCTTTATGGATGGGGAAACTGAGGCTCAGGAAGGCTGAGTAACAGCCCAGGATCACAGCAGCAGAACTATCTGCAGTCTGTCAGTCCCCGGATCTGTGTTCTTTACACAACTCCACCCTGCCTCCCAAAATACTAGTGTTACCGACTGGTAAGAAAACCAAAGCATGAGAGAAGCTGCTTCTGAGGTCCATCCTAGGGTCTGAAGGTCACAGAACTCTCACAATTCACAGTCCGCTCTGGCAAAGTCTGCCCTGGTTTGTCCCATCTGGACGGCTCTGCTCTAACTCACCAGTCTGTGTCTCCTTCCATGGGAGCTAAACAGAACATCAGTGTGCACAGGAGTCATGGGTGGGAATTGGCTGTGCTCGCTGCCTTCCTGCAGAGACTGGTGCCTGCCTCATGGACCCAGGCTGCTTGGAACAGCAGAAAGGGCATGCTGGATTCAAATCTGGACTCAAAAATTCTGAGAGGTTTTTTTTTTTTAAGATTTATTTATTTATTTATTCATGAGAGGCAGAGACACAGGCAGAGGGAGAAGCAGGTTCCCTACAGGGAGCCCGATGTGGGACTCAATCTCAGGACTCTGGGATTACAACCTGAGCCAAAGGCAAAGACGCTCAACCACTGAGCCACCCAGGTGTCCCTGAAAATTCTGAGGTTTGCGCAAACCACCTGATCCTCTCGGGCTGGGGCTCCTGCTCCTGTAAAGTGAAGGATCTGGGCTAGAATGATCTCTGAGGTTCCTTTTGACTAAAATATTTGGTAGTTGACAATAGTCCTAAGAAATGATGATCGAGGTGGTTTAGCGCCGCCTGCAGCCCAGGGCGTGATCCTGGAGACCCTGGATCGAGTCCCATGTCAGGCTCTCTGCATGGAGCCTGCTTCTCTCTCTGCCTGTGTCTCCGCCTCTCTGTGTGTGTGTCTCTATGAATAAATAAAGTCTTAAAAAAACACAAAGAAATGATGATCGAAGAGGGTCTACTGACACGTTCATCCCCTAGCAATGCTGACATTTATTTGGGCAGAAGTGTGGTTCTAGGACTTCAAAACATCTTCAAACTCCCTTTGTATTTATCCAGCTAGAACAATTCTAGATTCATCTATATCAAGTATCATCTAAGACAGAAAAGGAGTCATAACTCCTGGTATGAGCCTAATTTGACTTGATCTTTCAAGTTATCCCCGACATGTTTCTTATTTTACTCAGGATGGATAGTGGTAAAAAAAAAATAGTGAGTAATGACAGCCTTATGGAGCACAGAAGGAGGCCACATGGTGTCTCTGAAGGAGTTTCTGCTGCCATCTCTCACCTCTGCTCTCTGCCACTGCACCTGATTCTTTTCCTTCCTGGCATTTCTCACTCTCAGCAATAACTTACCCATAAGCTTTTTTCCTATGGTTCATCTCACTGAGTGCTATGTGCTCCACCACCATCTCTTTTATCTATCACTGTGTATCCGAGCACAGGGCTTGCCACATAGTAGGTGTTCAATGTACAGGCAGTATATACGTGAATAAAGCAGAAAGATACTTGTGAAAAATCCAGGATTGAACCCAAAAGACCTGGGCTCTCATCCTGGCTCTTCTTTCACCTGCTGTGTAACCTTGAACAAGTTACCTTGTTCCCCTTGAACCAAAGTGTCCTCAGAGATAATAGAGGGAGATAATATCCACTCTACCTATAAAGTAGGAGTTAATGCTAAGGATTACACAGTCCGTCAGAGGACACCAGTGACCTTTTCTCATGTACACACCCTGCTGGGCCACCGTGTGGAAGCTGGCCAGGTCACGGCAAGCTTCCACAGGCACAGTGCCAAGCTCCAAAGGGAACCAAAACACAGGACTCTGGCTTCCATTTCATTTTAAATCAACTCTGGGAGTCAGCCTGCTAAAGTCAGGACTATAGGCTGCTGATAACCCGGGAGAAGGCTGCAGACCTGAAGTCCCGACCGTGGCTCTACAGACACATGCCCAGCAGAGGACCGCCACACTGGAAGCTTATTAGCAGAAGTGCCAAGTGACAGCGGTCCCAGAATAGATCCCTCAGGCGCTCTCATTTATAATGCCCTTGTATCTGAGCTAACACTGCTTAAGGATTCTGAGTCACATTTAGCCTTAAACCACCCTTGTCAGCGCAGCAGCTCTCAACCAGCCACTGGGGAGCAAGCATTAGCAATGCATTATCGCACCCGCTCCGCCCGGGCACAGAGCATGCCTGAAACACGACCTCCTGAGGGTTCTCACCTCTCCAGGGCTTCACAGCTTAGAGCTGGAGGTCAAGCAAAGTCTTTTCAATAAAAAACCTGCACTTGAACCTCCTCAAGATGCACATTTCAGAAAGAGAACACGCAAAGAGAAGCCTGAGTTACCTTGGCTGCAGAGGAGCCCCGCACTCCAGAGCACAACCAGGAAAGTGGGGTACGCATCTACACAGTTTTGGCTGTAGAATAAAAAAAATGAGAAGAAATATCAGAAAACAGGTTACTGCAGCATAGTCTGAAAATTACCTGAAACCCCAAATTGATCATCAGCATCCCACATGAGGCAGCAACTGCATTCATCATTCCACTGACATCTACCAATAAGACACGGCTGCCACCTCAGAAACAGGCAGTGGTACGAGGCAACCACATGTTCAGAATCCATTTACTCCCTTCCTCGGTGAAGCCAATAAGAGACTTGGTTTCTTGATGGATTCATTTTGGCACGGTTCCTGTTCCTGGCTGTGCCAAAGTGCTTCCTGGAATTGAAAAGTGAGCAACACAGACAACAGGGCTGTGGCAGCTTTCAGGATTTGGGGGGTTGGGTGCAGGGGACAGGAGCCCAACTGAGGAAAACTTTGTCAGACCCACAGGCTGGGCTGGGGAAAGAAAGGTAAGCTTCAACCATTAGAGAAACCAGGGTCGACTCAGAAAAGCTGATGCACAGAAAGGTCTCCTGCTGGGTGTGCAATTACAGTGTGTAGGGCTCAATCCTGGTTCCTGTGGCCCTCCACACCAACCCCCGTGCTGGTATTTTATACCCTGTGTTTCCTGTAAATTCACTGCGGTCCTGTAAGTGTGCAGGAGTAACTGCAAACATTTTCCACAGCTGCTGAACAGATAGCCACAAACTCAGTGGCTTCAAACAAGACACACTGTCTGGAGGTCAGAAGTCCAAAAAGGGTCTCACTGGACTACCATCTAGGTGTGTCAGCATGGCTGCAAACCTGCTGGAGACTCTAGCAAAGATCTGTTTTCTTGCCTTTCTCAGCTTCTAGAGATCACCTGCATTCCTTGGCTTGTAAGCCCTGCTAAACACACCAATTTTTCGGCCTCCTTTTTCCACATCTTTTTTTTTTTAAGATTTTATTTATTTATTCATGAGAGACACAGAGAGAGAGAGAGAGAGAGAGAGAGAGAGAGGCAGAGACACAGGCAGAGAGAGAAGCAGGCCCCACGCAGGGAGCCCGATGTGGGACTCGATCCTGGGACTCCAGGATCACGCCCTGGGCCAAAGGCAGGCGCCAAACCGCTGAGCCACCCAGGGATCTCCTCCTCTTTGCACATCTAAAGAACCCTTGTGATTACATTGGGTTCCTTCCAGATAATCCAGAATACGCTCTTGATTTCAACGTCAGCTGGTTAGCAACCTTAATTCCTTCTTGCGGTGTAACAGAGCATCTTCACGGGCTCCCAGGGTCAGAATGTGAATATGTTTGGGGACCTTTCATTCAGCCTACTGCAATTACTTTCATTTTCACATGAGAAGCTGGGGTTTGGATAAGCTGAGTAACCTCCTCACCATCACGGAGAAACAGAATGGCAAAGCCAGGATTTGCATCCTGGTCAGTCCAACTCTAGAACCAGATCTATTACCTCTTCAACTACACTAAATAAATAGCGAGTGTCCTCTTGAGAAGTTTACAGTCTAGATCAGGATGATCAATACGTGCGTCCATGGAAAAACAACCTCACAACAGGTGGAGGCATGAAGGGGGGTGAGGAAGTAAAGCAATAGAGTGGAAAGGGCAGGTGACTAGGATGTGGTCTTTGACCTGACACTCACCAGTTGTTTGTCAATGGTAAAGCAATCATCTTGGACTTAGTTTCCTTCCCTGAAAAACTAAGACTGATAATAACTCTAAGACCCACGTAAACTCTAAGAGTTGATGCTTTAATGAGGAGCTGCTCAAGATATGGCCCCTGGATCAGCAGCATCAGAATCACCTGGGAACTTCTTAGAACTGCAAATGTTAATGCCCATCTCAGACCTAGAGAATTAAAAGCCTCCGGGGGCAGGGGACAGCCCCTCCAGGTGACTCAGAAACATGCTCAAGGTTGAAAACCACTGGTGTAATGTAATGTAATATAATGTAATGTAATGTAATGTAATGTAATGTAATGTAATGTAATGTAATGTACTGTTCAAATTGTACCAGTGAAAGCAAAGATGCAATTTGCAAAATGTATTCAGCCTTTTATCCAAAATCCTTCCTTGGATTCCTCCATCTGGATCATTCCTGATCTGGTTCTCATGATTTTCCTACTAAATGAGCTATGAACTCTTGTTCAGGCCGATCACATCTCAGGCCTCACTGGGAGCACTGGGATGACCAGCCCTCGGTCCATCCCCTGTGGAGAACTCAGAGAGGAAACTTTATGTCCCTCCGATGATCAAAGGATCCTCTACTGGAGAAGTCAATGAAATTAAAGGTAAGAAAGCAGTGTATCCCATCCTGGGCTAGAGGTGCAGGGGAGAGAATACAGCCCCGCTGACCTTGCCCTGTGCCCAGAGGGTGCGTGCCCTGGTCTAGTGGACACAGTAGAAACTCTGAAGGGCAGGATCCCTGAACAAATTTATCATTTGGGGAGGAGCACTTAGTGAATAAACAGATCCTGTATGCAGCTATGGAGCATGAGCATCACATCTATTCTATACTAGAGGCACAAAACCATAGCCTTGGGTTTCCAGACGTCATCCACCTCCCAGTTCAAGAAAACAAGGGAGAACATTCTTTTTTATTTACTTGAATAATGTTCTATGCCTGATGGGATCTAATACCTGATGTTCCAACAGTTTGAAAATCTGTTAATACCAAGATCACCCCGGCCTCCTCCTCATTCTCATGCTTCTGTTTTTGTTTGTTCTTGAGTACTGGTTTCATCTAGATGATGCAAAATTTTTTAAAATTCTTAATTATTTAAGGAATTTGCTCATTAGAGAGGATGGTATAGTAAGGTGACATTGAATCAGTCATTCAATCACTCCTCCTATTGTCTCAGGCAACTTGGTCCCCAATAAAACATGGTCTGTCTGGAGTTGAATGAAACTCTCCCAACTTTAAGAGAATGGGCTCCTCCTCTGGATTTTCAGAATATACCCAGAATCCTGTCCCTTGCTCTGGCTCAAGCCAGTCCTGTGATCCAGGATCTTGCGAGATGTCTTCTACCCACAGCTCCACACAATATGTCCCTCCTTGACAAAGGGCCACCACTGGGCTGAATTCGAGTATCTTTGGCCAGTGAAGCAGCTGTCTCTTGAGGTGGAGCCTAGCGGTCTTTAAGGTCTTTAAGGTCACATAGCCTGGGTCTGATGCCTAGTTTACCACGGTGCAAATGTCAGTGCATTCCCTAGCCTCACTGAACCTCAGTTCTCCTCATCTATAAGAGGTGAATGGAGACATTAGTAATTACTGCCTGGCTTGTGAAAATAAAATGAGATAAAGCAGTGTCTGGCTCATAAAAAGTTTTCAATAAATGGTGGCTATTACTGCTCCAATAGCTTCCTTCTTACAATCCCCAGTGGAAATGTCTTTCCTGCTGACAAATTATCATTATTCCAAATTTTCTTTTGTGGAGAGTTTTGTGCCATTTTTTTCTGCAAGACAAAATTGACAAACCCATCTTGGTTCTCATTACTTGAGGTCTAATTCAGAGGTGCTTGCCGGATTTGTCGACAATTCACTGTGTTGCATTCAATTTGATACACTACACTATCAATGTTTTTATGGAGAAAAGGACTCATTTTTTTCCCTTTTGTTTTTCTCCACCTTTGGAAATCAGATACAGAAGTACTTACATAGAGTTTTGTTAGTTAGTTTGGATTAACTTAAAATAAGTAAATATCACTAATAATAGTAATAGTACCACTGCAAGTCGATAGAATCAATGCAGATCTAGTGCCTTCAAATTATTTACCCACTTAGAAGTGAGTCTGAAGTGGATTTTGAGAGGGGCAGGGGAGAAAGGATGTTAAGGTGGCATTTCCCAAAATGCATTTTGTGAAACACTAAACCCGTGATACACTCTGCAAAGAAAAAAAAAAAGAAAAAGAAAAAAAAAAGGCAGGGGAGGTGTATCTGTAGTTTTTTTAACTTCCCTTTCTTGGAGAACCAAGAATCACAGTGTTCCTCAGTACATTAAAAATTCTCCACATTCTTGCTGTCCAGAACTTTTTCTTCTCTGTAACATGTGCTACCAGCCCACGAACTTGTAATGTGTGGAACACGTGTCCAAAAATTACACTTCTCCGGAGGCCTTCCTCCTCTCTGCAACCTGTGCTCACCTGCACTCATGAGGAAGAATCTTAGATCAGTTAACTGAGCTTCTCCTCCAGAAATCAAACTGTTCTAGTTGTGCTCATCATCTGAGGACAGGGCTTTAAATTATGTTTTATACCCAAGAACAGAGAGTAAAGGTCAAGATTCTTTTTCTCTCTCAAACTCTGACTCAGCTCTGCCCTGATGGGTGATGGGTGATGAGAGAGACCACTAACAGAAGCCAGGTTGGAGCCAACGGGCCACACCTAGCTGCAACGTCTGTTTATCGACTGCCCCCAAATCTGCAGCCATCTGAATCAGTCAACCGTCATATTTTAAGCTGAAAAATATGCATCTGGTTATTCAATCCATCAGCATCATTTATCCTTTATGCTAGTTTTTCTTTATAGCCATGGTCTGGAAACACTTATGACCTCACACCCCATCAACCAGAAGATGTGACCACGCAAACCTGTGACAGGTATAATACACACGCCGCTCTCAACCTGTATATTAAAAATGAGTAAAGCTTAATTTCTTATTTTTTAGATAGTGGGATTAGATAGATGTTCTCTTCTTTTGGCAGATTCACAGCTCAACCCGCACCCACTTTGGTGCTTTTGGAGGCCTCTAGACAAGCTACTGCCGGACAATTTCTGCTAGATGAACACATAACCCCTTGCCTGTGGCTTCCAGGCAGAGGCCAGCAGACTGTGTGCCTCTGGCTCTGCCAGCACACAGTAGCCCACAGCCCTGATCCTTCAGCCCGTCTATAAACTACCACCGGCACACGCAGTGCTGTCTGCTGGGTCAGGGAGGAAGTGGTCTTTGTAACAGAACCACAGCAGTGTCTGGGCAGTCTTCATCTTAAGGAAATTCTCCTTTTCGCCTCCTGAGTTCCAAACTTTCCACATCTATCCCTCCCCCTCATTCTTCTCGCCCTGTTTTCTGGTCCTGGGGAGCTGGGCTGCAGCGTCCACACCGTGGGGACCCCAGGCAGCAAGAACATCCCACCACCCTCCTCTGGCTCCTCCTTAGGTCAGGAACCCCACACCATTGCAGAACTTCCAAACCGCCCTTCCAAATGACGCAGCACAGCTGCCACCAAAGAGCACTTCTGCAATCTGGGGACTGGCCCCAGCGAGGAGGGGGCAGGTGTGGGCATGGCCCCTTCTTAGGCGCAGAGTTAGCTCACTCCTGGGGCAAACGGCAGGAACTCAACTGCCCAGCCTGTCCCATTTTGTCTTCATTGCTGGCAAACTTGAAACTGAACTTCTCTCGAGGTGCAGTGAAATTGCACTGCGTGCCCGCTGCCCTGTCTAGCTTCTCCAGAATGGACCAGTTGCGTTTGTAGGAACACAGTGTGACTGATAATAATGCAGAGATCCGGGCAGAAAGAAGCTTCTCTTTCCAAACTAGAATAGTATGAATATCTCCCTTGAGTTGTTTTCAGAGAGGTTTCGGCATGGCACCTCTGGGAGTCAAAGACATCTTTTTTGTATCTTTTGGCCCCAGATGTGTCTGAGAGCTGCTCCCACATCTCCCCCTGCAAGTGACACAAAGCTACCGACGCACCCTACCTACGTCCCCTACCCTCCTTTCAATGCAAATGTCTAAAATAGCTGAAGCCACATCTTCAAACTTCTTCCATAGATTCTGAGAATGAATATATTGAAGGTCTAAATGTTAAAATAGAAATGTCCCTGTAGGTAGTTCAGCAAAGGATTTCCTTGAAATCAGCCTGCCAGAATGACCATGCCTGGGACCACTTAATACGAGGCAGGGGGAGCAAAGCAGGTAGCCAGGGCCCAGGAGAAGGGGAGGTCTTGTAGGTACTGTGGACACCCAGGAGCAGCCTGAAGCCCCAAACCCAAAAGGCAAAAGGCCCAGACAGGGTGAAGGGACGAGGATGTCCACCTGCAATGATTTCCTTGGGTGTCCATGACTGTCCCTTTGGAAAGGTCTCTGGGGCCCATCAGAGTCACCTTTGAGTTGAGAGTGAAGGTCGGCTCCTTAGCCAGCTCATATCTGGAATCTTTCCTTCTGACAGATCCTTAGTGACAAGCACAGAGAAGCAGACAGGCCATAGCCTGAAACTACTGTTCAAGTACATTTTGCAGAAGGAAAAAGTGAGCTGTTCAGGTGTTACCAAGAAGCTTTTTTATTCAAAAGTAAAAAATGAGAGGGGGGTGGAAGCAATGGCACAGTTCCCTCATTCTTATGGTTCTTGTAGCCTCTCGAAGAAACTGGGCATTACGAAAGGTCCTGCCATGTCTCCAGATGTCCACCAAGGGGGCCGCAAGGGGCAGTGAGCAGAAGGCTGCCGCCATTGTGTCTCGCCTGTTCTTCCAAAGCCAGCCCACAAGTAATGGCTGGTTTTCCTGGTAGTACCTCTGAACTAATTGCCCAGGAAATTGGTTAACACTGTGACCACACAACTGGCTCAGAGGTTTCTGGAGCAAGGGGGATCTGTGGCGATCACATATCCCCACCTCCAATATCTCCAATTCCTTTCTTTAAACAATAGCACTCATTTAGATGATAAAGAATGTCCACAAACCCACCCCCAGCCCACCCCAGTGAGGTTCAACCTTCCCTCAGAGCTCTGCCTCCCTGGCACTCTGAAGGTTGGCTCAGACAGACATGTAGCCTTGAGAGTGGTTGTTTTCACTCCTGTAGGGAGGCCCCCATGCCCAGGGCCCCACTCTGTTAGTTTGCAGTATCACTCACTTGGCAGTGTAGACCCGCTCAAAGGCAAGTGTTCCCGTCCTCTGGAAGCTCCGCCCATTCTGTGTCTTGCTTTCATGCTCCACCTTGTGGGCAAAGAACCCTGGCAGAGGGAAAGGTTTGGATCTGGTTTATAACAGACATGTTCATGAGCCTGATATCCCATTATTTTACTAGAATGTTAAATGTTCCCTCTGTGTGCCCTCCAAACAATCTTAAATGTCTTCCATCCAATGTCATTTACCAAAAATTCATTCAGCAGCTATCTCTACTAATCACTGCATTTGGTGATGGCAGATGATGGTGAACAAGATGCAGTCCCATTTTCAAGGATCTTACAGTCAAAGGAAATAGACAATCAGAGCAGAAATTACACTCTAGTGATTCATGCTAAGATGAAACTGACTGAGAACAGGAAGCCATCGAGGATCCAAGAGGCAACTTAATTCAGTGTTGGAATCACAGGGAGTCTAGAGGAAGCGACATCTAGGATAAGATTTTCTGAACAGGTAGGAATCAGCCAAAGAGAAGGAGAGGGCAGGGGGCAACAGAGGAGATCACCCCACTGGAGTGGAGTAGAATATGGAAAGGTGCAGAGGCAAGAACTGTCTTTGGTTTGGTAGATCCAGCTTATGATGGGGGAAATTGGGAGCAGGGAGTGGAAACAGATAGAATTATATATGAGGCCAAAGAGGTAGATGGTGAATTGTTCTTTCAAAGACATATTTCTGGGGTTCCTGGGGGGTGCAGCAGTTTAGCGCCTGCCTTTGGCCCAGGGCGCGATCCTGGAGACCCGGGATCGAATCCCATGTTGGGCTTCCGGTGCGTGGAGCCTGCTTCTCCCTCTGCCTATGTCTCTGCCCCTCTCTCTCTCTGACTATCATAAAAATAAATAAAAATTAAAAAAAAAAAGAAAAAAAAAACAAAGACGACATTTTTCTTTGTGACTTGCCATATGCCAGACACTTAGCTTGCATCTGAGAACAAAACACACAAAGAACCTTGGCCTGAGGAGCTTATGTTTTGGTGAGGGTGGAAGAGGAGGAGATAGAGTGTAAGAGTGAACAAAACGCTTAAATTAAATTATACAGCGTGCCGAATCATGGACAGAAGAGAACGCAGAGCAGGGTGAGGGGCAATGTGAAGTGCTCATAGGGCGGCCAGAGTGAGAAAGCGGTAAGTGAGCCCAGGCCTGAAGAAGAGGAGAGTTGAGAAGTGTGACAGTGACCTTGATGAGAGCCATATTAAGAAAATCAGAACTTATTCCCATCTCACAAGCAATAAGGAGTTACTGACAGGTGTAAGCTAAGGGATGGTGTAAGCAGAAAGCCATTCTGTCTTCTGCATGGTGAGTGTCTAGAGGGGTCAGGCCCACAATAGGGGGTAGATAGGAGGGCGCTGGCTAGGATAATGGCCATGGGGTGTAGCCAAAATCCTGAGGGCATGTCTATAGATTGGATATGAGAGCAGGAATGAAGATCTCTCTCCCCTCCCCTCCTGTTACAACGTGCCTGTTTGGAGCACAGCTACACAGCCACTTGTAGAAAAAGAGCATCGGCCCTGCTCCAGGAACCCCAGCAGACACCTGACATCTAGTCCCTTACCGGGCCTAATGCCAACTCTGCAAAGTGGACAGTGCTGTCCCCACTTCGTAGACAAGGATATAGTGACTTGGGGAGGTCAGAGAGCTCTCTCAGAGTCACCCCACTGAGAAAAAGTGCAACTGGGGATTCAAATCCAGGGGGGCAAATGAGGATCCTTCTTTCCTGTTACTGTCACATTGAAGCTCACTGCAGGGATTCCATCAACTACACTGGATTTAAGTATTCTTCTGTCTGTTCTGGATATCTCTTCTTGCCACAAAAATACAGCAGAAAATTTTGCTGGAAGACCAGTGTCTTTCCAGAACCCAACGGGATGGCCCTTGCCTCTGAACGTGTAACACAGATGGTATTAAGAAAGCCAGAGGTTATTTCCGCCAAGCACTGCTTGGGCTACGCTTCTCTGCATCTGTTTTTCTTCCACTCCTGGCTCAGAGAAACCAACCCCTTCCCCTTTTCCAAGGCTTGCCTTCTACCTGTGACCCTGCGCCCATTCCTGCCACCCTTTTGGCCCTTTTTGCTTCATCAGTGTTCTCCTTATTTCCTGGACCATCTCTCTCTTTCTTTTTCCTTCTCTTGACCCTAGAAACATACTCAGATCTTTCCTACCCATCAAACAAAACAAAATCAAGCCTGTCTCATTCCACTAGGCAGAGCCACTAGGCTCTCCTCCCGTTTAGCTAAACTTGTTTAGCTATACACCTCACCGCCCACTCCCACCCCAACCCTGTGTTATCCTCCACTATGTTACAGAAACTTCACGAGAAGAGACCATTAAACACTTATCTTGGCTAGCTGCTGACAGTAGGACAAACCAGAGAGAGAGAGCCAGAGCCAGAGATCCAGAGAGAAAAGGCTACAGGCCATTCCTGAGCACCTACCATATGCCAGGCCCTCCTGGCTACTTTCCCTCGGTTATTCTACACAGCACCTCCAACAAGCAGGCATAGAAGTTATGATAGCTCCACTTCTTGGTTAAGGAAACTGAGAGAGGACCCAATAACTTTCTCATCACATAAAAAGATCTTGAGATTTTAGTTAAGCACAAAGTTACTATGAGCCAGCAGTGTGATACAAGTGTTCAAAGAATGACACACCCCTGATTATTTGAATAGAATTGATGTTTGGATCTCAGGAACAGTTTCCCTGTGCAGAAAACATCTATCACCTGGAGCTTAGAGAGCCCAGGGCAAGATGGGTGGGAGGCGGAAACCCAGTGACAAGGGACTCTGGAAACCAAGTCACATGAGGAATGACATGGAAGACAGGATGGTACAGCTGACTCTGTAAACCCAGAAGCAGCAAGCATAGTCCAAGCTTTTCCAGAGAATAGAAACAGGACCAGTGAGTAGAAGTCATAGGGCAGCAGAACTTCTTCAGGAGTGGGTGTTGGGATAAATGTATTTGAGACAATATATATAACATACGTGTCTACTTTTTGGAATGGATTTGAATCCCAGTTTCACCACTACTGGCTCTAGGACTTTTAACCAATGATCTAGCCTTTCCAAGCCCCACATTGCCTCTCTGTAAAATAGGAGTAACAATATTATATATTTCACAAGCCACAAGGATTCAGTGAGATACTATTCCCAACACAAAGAGCTATGCTTGACAAAACAAACTCAATACACCTAACAATGGGAAGGGCAAGCTCAGTATGTCATGAGCATTCTATCATGGGAGGGATCAGGTAGGAACTGTTGAGAATGGTGTAAATAAAATTTTTGCTTTGGGGCACTTCATGAGTCCTGTATCTAAAGCCCAACCAACTCCAGGTTGGGTTGGTAGGTGTTCCAATATGGTACCCATGAGATTCATTATGAGTGTGTGTGTGTTGCGGTGGGAGTACCAGGGATGGCATGGGAAGGTAGGTGCTCACTACCAGCTCTGTATCTCTCCTTATCACTATTCTCACAGACCCTTGTGTCTGCAGGGCCATCATGTCTCCCCCTTTTTGGCTTCATGATAAGAAGAAAGCTGAGGAGAGACGATGATGCCAATTCCCACCACTTTTCCCTACAACCAGAAGGGCTTCAAAAACAGCTCTTCTGCTGGAGGACCCCTTTTCTCTGCTGTTACCATTCAGGCTTCCAAGCCCAAGCTCAATACCTTTCCCCTCAGCTCACCCTCTCCTGTCACTCTAATTAGTTTGGCTTCCTATGGAAATCATTTTCTCCAAATCTGTGTTTTTCAGGTTTGCTGCCTATCAATGCTGCTGGCACCTTGGCAGGAGAAGTTGGAGGATCTCTGGATGCTATTCATAGGAAACGCATCTATCTATACTCCCTGGGAAACCAGGATTTGGTGGTTCTGGCCCAGCTTTTTTGGAATGATGTATTTTAAACTAGTTCTGTACTTCCAAATCCATGTTTTGCTGGATCAAGATGGAAGAGGGCCACAGGTTCAAAGATCTTGATGACTAAAGAATGTTTAGGAGTCAGAGGAGGAAGTTCCTCCAGGCAGGCAAGGCTCTGGCCTCTTCCCAAGAAATGAGCTTCACGCAGTGTACAGAGAGCACAGGCCCTGGATACCATTGTGGACACCTGTAGACTGGACCTCTTTGTCTTAGGACAAAGCCTGCAGTGCCTGGCAACAACATGTAAATACTCCTTAAAACTAACAGGAAGGGCTTGAAATGGCATTTTACAAGGCAGGAGGGGAAAGGTATGGTTTTTGCATATTTTCTGAACTCTATATGGAAGATCTATGGTTGCAGTGTTGAGGTTCATTAGAATTGCAAAGAGAAGCTCGGGACATGTGCTTGAACCTCAGTGTTTACCTAAAAACTCATGGTGCAAGCAAGTACAGATGTTCTCTTCCAAGCCATTTGGCTCTCTCTTGTTCTCTGACAAGAGCACATTTAACAGTTACAAATAAAAGGCTTCACATGGCGGTCTCAGCATCCCATGGCAGTCTGGGCCTCTGCCTCAGAGAGGAGCATGGCTGGGCTGCTTCTGTGGCTTCAAACGAACAGCAGGCTGTCGCTTCCCCAAGCAAGGGTGCGATAGTGCTGTACAAAATCACTCTGCCCCAAGTTGCCCTGGCTGCTCACAGTGGGCTGGGGAGGGTGGACGACATGATGTGGCAGCCACATAGGGTCTGCCCAGGCTGAAAGAGTCTCCAGCCCGAAACAGTATCTCCATTCCGGTCCATACATGTATCTTCCCACCAGGAAGCCTCCATTTCACTCATCAGTTGCTGGAACTCTATCAGTGAAGCCACTGTGTTCTGTCGCTACCTCTCTGAAATGGCCTGTCAAAAGTCAAGGCCCTTGAATAGAGGTTAAGACTCAGGCATTGGGCAAGCTATAATCTCTCCTCCCATGCTGTACCAAAGACAAAGACTTAATCTCACTGCCAAAATAATTAGGAACCTCACTGTCCCCCTCAAGTCTGATTAGGGTTTATTTTGCCACCAAGGGAAGAAGCCCAGGACCCACTTGACAGACCAAGGCCAGGTTCTGCCTCTTTGGAGAGATGAAGAGACTCTGTTCTCACAACGGGAGACCATGTAGCCTCCCCCAAGTCAGCTCTGAACTGAGAGGAAGCAGCTCAGGGTGAGCGCCAGCCTTCTAGCTAGCTTAGCCCCATCCACACAGGCAAGTGACAGGGCACTGTTTTCCCAGTTCACCGATATTTGTCAGCTACGTTGATGCTTATAAGGGGAAGGACCAGAGAGGAGACCCCATATGGAGCTGAAAAAGTACTGCCCACCCCATCCACCCATGCAAAACTGCCTCCACAGACATGAGAAGGGCCTTTGAAGGCTTCCCTCTGACCATGGCTGGCCGTCTTTTCTCGCTATCTTTTCCTTTCACCAGGGGGCCCCGACACCATAGCCACTATATCCCCATAAAGCCAGGACACTGCCTGTCACAGCAGGTCCCAGTAGGTGTATGCAGGGTGAATAAATGAATCCATCACTGACGTGTAAGACCATGGGAACTCATGGTACCTGCATGAAATAGCAATGGCTTGAGGAATGGCAGCCTAAACAATCCATTTGTTCCCTCCCTGTGCTGCAACTTGATCGTGTGAACTTAGTATGAAAGTATGAAATGTTTTGGGTCAAAACATGGCCAACTGCTGTTCCATATAGGGAACATACTTGGAGGATGCAAAGTTGGGCCTCTCTGGTATGGGGAGGTCTCTGGAAAGCCCTACTCTGGGCTCAGAAGGCAAATCCTCAGCCTCTGTCCACCTTCAAGCTGGGGGGAAATGACAAGGTCTCCCAAACTGGTTAAATACTCAAACTTCCCAAGTATGACAGTGTCTGGGCACACAGTTAATACCCATTTGGTTATAGCAGCTGCCCTTAGCAATTACCATCCTTTTTCCTCTATCTTAATACACTACAAAACACAAAGCCCCTGGAAATACTCATAAAAAAAAAAAAAAAAGCCTGTAGCAGACCTAACTCAGAACTCTAAAGGGAAAATTCAACACAGTCTTGTCTTTTTCAGGTCTGCGTACCTCATAAGGTTTTTTAGGCACTGGCAAGGTTAATGGAAATGCAAACCCCACACAAGAAAAATGCTTCCTTTCTCTCTTTATGTAAATATGTAATGCATTTTTTTAAAATGCTTCAAATTTATTCATTACTAGAAAAAAAGAGAAAGTATTATAAAGCATCTATTTTTCTCCAAAAGAAAAAAAAGAGCAATACAGAGATAAAAAATAAGATGATTTCTCCATCCCACCTCCCAAATTCTTTCTTTCTTTCTTTCTTTCTTTCTTTCTTTCTTTCTTTCTTTCTTTCTTTCTTTCTTTTTCCTTTCTTTCTTTCTTTCTTTCTTCTTTCTTTCTTTTCTTTTTTCTTTTTTTGCCTATAGGTGACAGAAAATCTCAGTTGCATTGAAATCAGCCCATCTGCACTACTGCAGCCCAGTGTCTGAGTAAACACATATTTTACTTTCCCTTTCTAGGTCTCCGGCCACAGTAATTAATAGTTAAAATGCTGATTGTGACACTTCAGTAAAGGTTTTGATAAAGCCTCTAGGTTGCTGCCCTGGCTCTGCAAACATGGTCAGTCACCACCATTTAAGTGAAAGAAATACCAGGAGAAGGAAAATCCCAAGTTCAAGCATGAATACACACACCCTATACATTCAAAGAAAAGGAAAAAGCACACAGGGACAAAGAACCGTGTGAGCCTGACTTTCTAACAACCAGCAAACAAAATCTACCCTTGTCTCCCTCTGTGAGCGAGGACTTTGCCTTACCGTTCTGGACCACGCTGATGAGGGTGATGATGGCCAACAGGACAATATTCCCCACGGCTTCTTGATCCATGTTTGCTTCGAGCTCCCCAGTAAGGACTGCTCCAGTTTGGTGGCACCCAGGCCTGCACTGAGCAGAAAGGGGAAGTGAGGGCCCACACTCTGTCTTTCATCATTAGAATTTCCAAAGGTCCCAACACAGTTACACGGTGACTTCTTCTTTCTCTCTCTCTCTCTCTCTCTCTCTCTCTCTCTCTCTCTCTCTCTCTCTCCTCTTTTTAACTAGCCACCAAAGTGCCCTAGCTCAGTGTGACCTGCCAGGAGAAGCAGAGCTTGGAAGAGGAGCAGGAAGGGAAGAAAAAAAAATGAAACTTGTGTTTTATTTATAGAGCACCAAAAAGATCTGTGTTTTGAGTGCTTTCTTTTCTTGAATTCCCAGGGGGGAAAAAAAAACAGAATACTTAACACATGGCAGGTTCCAGAGTGGCAGCCATATAAAAAGGCCTGGATGAGTGAATAGATGGATGAATGAATGAATGAATGAATGAATGAGGAAGTGGGCAGCTGACATCTCCATTTCTCCAGGAAAAAAAATCAGCAAAAGAATTAAAACCAAACCTTAGCTAAGGAGCAAAAATGAGGATACAGATGACCCATAAGGAAAACTTCAGTCCAGCCAGGCATGAGTACCATTAAACACCGCATCTGGCTCTTCAGAGGTAGTTTTTGAAACACCTTCCTGGAATCTTCTCAACATAATAATAACAGTAGAGAGAAGGTGTGAGAGTGAGCCTGCTGAGAAAGCCAGGTAGCTGTGTAAATGGCCATCTCTCAGAAGCTACACAGAAAATGCAAGACTTCAGCCCAGACTCAACAATTATTTGGCAATGAGCAAGAGGAGCTTTTTATCAAAACCTCACTCTGAAAGAGAACCTCAGCCACTATACTTGGTGGCAGCAGGGAACTGCACCTTTGTGTGGGAGAGGCCAGCTTGAGTGTCCTCCATTCAGCTGAGAGAGACAGAGGTCCACAGAAGCAGTGTCCAGAGCTTGGACACGTGGTGGCCTGTGGCAAGGGCAGTCCAGACGGTACTCATGAGTACTCTCTGAGTGCCTGGAGCACTCTGCCAAGCATGATGTCACAAGCATAATGGTTAGGGGCTCAGTCAATACCAGGAAGATTTGCATATTCACCTTAATGAGATCTTATTTATATGGGAGGTCTGGTAAGTTTCAGAGGATGTGTAGGTCCCAGGAGCTAAGGAGTCTGACCCTCGTAAAGAGGTGGCCTTTCTAACACTCAACATAACTAAGGACAATGCATCAGAAGTGATGGCCAGTCCCTTTAAGAGTATTCCAGTTGCAAAGAATAGAAACCTAGCTCGGAGGCACCTGGGCGGCTCAATTGGTTGAGCATCTGCTTTCAGCTCAGATCATGATCTCAGGGCCCTGGGATGGAGTCACACAGGGGGCTCCCTGCTCAGTGGGGACCTTGTTTCTCCCTCTGCCTCTCCTCCTGCTTATGCTCTTTCGCTCTCTCTCTCTCTGTCAAATAAATAAATAAATAAATAAATAAATAAATAAATAAATAAATAAAATCGAGAAAAGAAACTTCGCTCCAACTAGCTTGGGCAAAAAGGGAAATTGGCTCAAAAAAATCCAAGGAACTGAACAATGAAAAGCTGAAAAGAACAGAGTTGTGGTTGGACCTTGGAGGCCAGCCATTGTCTCTCTCTCTCTCTCTTAGTTCTCTGTCCCTCAATCTCTCTCTTTCTCTCTCAACTTTCTCTTGGCTTGTCTGCTTTATTCTCTCTGTAGACCACTTTTCTCCACAGTGTAAAGAACTAACTTCTTGCATCTAAATTCTTAGAAAACCATCTCATAGGCCCTGGCTAGTCACATATCGTTCCTAGGACAACCAGATGGCAGGGAAGTTAAAGTACCTGGTAGTTTCCATAGTTGTCACCTGGTTTAGAGAGATCCTTCCCTAAAGAAAGATTGGGCGTGGGGAGGTGGTAGGGGTGGAGGGATGCCAGGTTTATCCACTATCAGGCTACGACTGTCCACCACTTATGATTCCAGATTGAAACACCCAGCTGTTAAAGAAGTTTCTCTATCACACAGCCTGACGGCTTTAAGGCTCAGTCTAGTCTCCTTGTTGCTTGGGTGTTTGTGTTCATGGCATGTTAAATGTGTGCCACCGTTTGCAGCCACATAAAAAACAACATAGACAGAATCCAATGAGGCTTTGGAAAATCATCCAAGCCTGGGTTCCTGGAACTCAGGAACCTGAGAAGGGGCAGCCTCTCCTCTGGCTTCCCAAGCCTCCGGAGACCCCATAAAATGATGTGTTGGTGGGGGGCATTTCCACTTTAGAAGGCGTGAGGGCCCTGGTAGGAGGCTCCGTAGCTGCGCCCCCTCCACGTCGGAGCTCCCTGGACTCACCCCGCCAGGGTGGGGAGCACGTGCCGATGGAGCGAGTCCACTTCACCCTGGAAGAGCGTTTTAATAGGCAGCCGCCAAGGCCATTAAATTACAGTGCGCACATTAAGATTCTGGCTGCCGCCGCCGCAGAGGAACACTTATCAGAGGTGAAGCCTCTGGAAATGCCATTCATCTCAACAGAGAGCTGCTGAGACAGAACAAAAAGGCAGGGGCGCCCGGGGAGCGGGGGCGGGGAGCGCGGCCCTGCTCTCCGCTGCCTTCCTAACAGCATGGTCTCGGGCCTGCAGACAGGCCCCGCAGGACGCGGCGGACCTGACCCGGCACAGGAGCCTGGCCCTGAGCAGCTTGCACCTTTGCTCCTCTCCACACAGCCACCTCGGGACAGGTTACTCCTCTCGTTGCCCAAAGGATAAAACAGGTTCAGAGGGGTTAAACCACATGTCCAAGGACACACATGTGGTAAGGAGCAGAGCCAGGATTCAAACCCAGGCTTGTCCTACTTCAAAGTCTAGGTCCTTAACCACTCTGAATGCTGCTCCTGGAGCTTCTGGAATAGTTTCCAGAGCTCAAGACTCCCTGGTGTCTTCCTTCCTTCTCAGTGCTTGGCCATCTCCTCAGAAGCTAGTATGAGCAATGTCCATCCCCCCAGCCCCTAAAGAGAGATTTTTAAAAAGAAAGGAAAGGAAAACAGATACCTGTCACAGGAAATAACAGATACCGCAGATACCCCACTATTAGTAAAGGTAATTTAACAAGAAGTCTCCCACAGCTCTGAGCTGAGAGCTCACCCCCCTGCTCCCAGACCCCTGCTCCCAGCACCTCCCTGGTTAGGCCTGTGCTGCACTTACAGCGTGTGACAGGTTAGCTAGACAAATGTGCTGGGAGTAGAGAAGGATAATTAGCACATTCATTAATTAGAGTACTGCTAGTAGTTTGACTGTGAAGGACAACCATTTGCCAACAGAGATCAGGACAGCTGGGGCCGAGCAGCCACTCAGGGGGACAGCAATTCAAAGCAAGCAGTGGCACTGACCGGCTGCTATAAAAAACATGGGCGCTGCTCAAATACTTAGCGACAACAGGCCTCCGTCGCCATGGCAACATTGGGCCACATCGTCTGGCTGTCAAGCAACAACATTCACATATCCTTCATCTCACCTCGGATGCACGTTGCCGTTTCATGACATCTCTTCCCGTCGCTTTCTGTGCAGGTTTGCCCTCCGTGTTGATAAGGACGAGGCTTTCCGGGTACATAAAGGCTGGGAGTGAGGGAGCCAGCACAGAATCCTCCTGAGCTGGGGCATTGACACTAGCTGGGACGTAGAGGCATAGCTCAGGTCCACCGGTACGAGCTGTCCACGGGTACAAAGCAGTTCCTTTCATTTCAGCTGATCTAAAAACTATTCAGACCAACATTGATCTGAAAGAAGAGCAATATGAACAAAGACCAGGCCATGGTCTGTTCTAGATATCACACATCTGTCTTGTAGCAGTCAGTTTTACCAGAGAACAGAACCTCTAGGAGATTATGTATACAATCCATATATGTACATGGATGTGTTATAGGGATCTGGGTTTACACAATTGTGGGAGCTCGTGAAATAGTCCATGTGAATCTATTTGTTTTCTAGGGTTGCTGTAAAAAAACTTAAAACAATAAAAACTTACTGTGACACAGTCTCCAGGAGAACCAAATCAGCCTGGTTAAAATGTCAAATCTCCTTCCCCAGTCATGGTCAGATGGTCTTTCTTTACACGAATATCCAGTTTGGTCCTGGATTGAACTGAATTACATAGAGATGCCATTGCATAGATGAGGAAACTGAGGGACAGTGAATTTGCTGTAACCTCACTGCTATTGACTAAATTCCACACATGCTCAGAACACTGAGCTAGGTGCTTTACAAAACAAAATGACATTTTACAGTTATGACCTCCATCCCCTAGACTTTTGAGCTGTAGGCTGCTAGTATCAGTGCAAGAAAGCAAATGGGCCCAGACCTATAGAACCTTACACAGACTGCAGGGACCTAAGGTGGCAGCCAGAAAGCATCTTCCTCCCCATATCACAAACACGCAAAACACACTGCATTGTTATGAGTTTGTGGAAAAATTAAGCATGTAACCAGAAGTGCAGCAACCATCAAAAACAGAGCTTATACGTGGGTTCTTTTCCCCAACTGTCAACTTAATTTGTCTTACAGGCTCTCTAAGGAAAGGAGATCAGTAGTGGGCATGACTGGACATGATAGCATTCAGTTCTAACAGAATTAAAAATTGTGAAGCTTGGAGCACCTGGGTGGTTCAATCGGTTAAGCATCTGCCTTCAGCTCAGGTCATGTTCCCAGGGTCCTGGGATCGAGCCCTGCATCGGGCTCCCTGCTCCCTCTCCCTCTGCCTGCTGCTCCCCCTGTTTGTGCTCTCTTTCTCTCTCTCTCTATCTCTCTATGTCAAATAAACAAATAAAACTTTAAAAAACATTGTGAAGCTCATATATGGTCAGCTAATTTTTGACAGAGTAATTCAATAAGGAAAGCAAAGTCTTTCAAACAAAGGGTGCTAGAACAACTGGATATTCACATGAGGAAGAAATGAACCTTGACTCTACCCCCACATCACACAAATATAACTAGAAATGAGTCTTCAACCTAAATATAAAAACTAAATCTATAAAACTTCTAGAAGA